AAATAGTACAATCGAATGGACAACCATCATCCAGTGGAGAAATCTTATCTGGTGTACCCTAAGGATCAGTTCTAGGTCTAATTCTTTTTCTTCTGTATTCAAATGATCTGGCTTTCATTCCAATTAGAGGAAATTTTACAATTTTTGAAGATGACACTACCAGCCTCTGTTCCACAATAAAAAACCCGAATTCATGCGTCGATATGTGACAATGGAAGAAACATGGCTCCATCATTTCACACCGGAATCAAAACAATCATCATCTGAGTGGACTGCACGTGGTGAACCAACTACAAAGCGTGCAAAGACGCAACAGTCGGCTGGCAAGTTTATGGTATTCGTATTTTGGGATGCGCATTGTATTATATTCATGGACTATATTGAAAAAGGAAAAACCATCAGCAGCGACTATTACATAGCGTTATTGAAGCATTTGAAGGACGAAATCGCGGACAAACGACCCCGTTTGAAAAAAATTCAAGTGGTACTTCATCAAGACAATATTACGTGTGAGAAATCAATGAAAATAATGGCAAAATTGCATGAATTGGGCTTCGAATTTCTTCCACATCCACCGTATTTTCCAGATCTACCCCCTATTTCCTATTTCCATACCTCAAGAAAAATGCTCGCTGGTGAGGAATTTAGCGCCAATGAAGAAGTAGTCGTCGAAACTGAGGTTTATTTTGAGGATAAAGTCAAATCGTATCGTCAAATTTGGAGGATAACATCCTCCTTTACGAACACGCCATCTATGGGATCAACAGAGAACTCAATCCCCAAGGCGGTCGGTTGTGATGCCAAGGTTCGACTTTGACAGCCGACGAGATTTGACCTCTGTCTTTTACTGCAGCTTTCACTGCAAGTATAATATAATATCTCTGTCGATCAGTNGACTCCCGAGCAGCAAAAAAATACCAAAAAAGCCGTAGTTTCTAGGTCAATCAAGATCGTTAAGATATCTGTCATTTTTGTTTTTCCAGCAATATTTCTATGAGAAAAATTTCATAGATCTTTTGCTTTATCATTTCAGCAATCTTTATTCTCTCGTTTGAAGAACTTAAAACATATCTCATGACCTTATACGTTTTCTCTAACTCACACAAAGAAACTGATTCTAATTCTACCTACCCTAGATTCCCTGAACATTAGAGGATATCCTTTGGATGCATAATTGCGACTATAAAAAATCCTTAGGAATTCTAGCTGCACATTCTTTGAATTCACCTTCGTGTCCCTGTCCTGTCACTTTCTGGGATAAATCATTCCGAAACTCCTCTTGAATACATACTTTCATCCATTACTTTGTGAGCAAATACATTCAATATTCTTTCCACAAACATAAACAGCGGTGGAAGGAGTGAAATGATAAATTATTTATATATGAAAATTCACAATTACTGCATCATCGCTGACAAATTATTTCAAGCTTGAACATTGACCGAGCGAATTGCTATGCAAGTTATTACTCAATGATGATACGAAACAAGAACTCTTAAGGAAGTGTTAATAGTTGACTCTGGCTGTATTTCCTAACACTGTTCGCAAAAAAAATGAAAACTAATCTTTCGAATATTATTTCAGATTTTATATTTGTCACTAGTTATCTGGTTTTATATGAACTCTTTTATTTTCTACAACTGATCAACTGAACAGTACATATAATATAGAAAGTAATCTATACAGTTCATTACCCGTTAAGTTTCGTAACTTACCATTCATAATATTCAATAACTTACTTATGATGCCGCTCTGTTTGGAACCTTTGGTGTAGTAATGCATATTACTGCAGTTTTTTCCCATTACATTACAGGTGCATACTACCCATCATAACTTGACAAGCTGAAGACAGAACTTGCGGAAAAACGGCCTCATTTGTAGAAATAGAAAATTTTGTTTCACCAAGACAACGCATCGTCTGACACCTCAGCGGTTTCCATGGCGAAAATCCATGAATTATAGTTTGAACTGCTTGACCATCCACCTTACTCACCAGATCTAGCCCCAAGCGATTTCTTTTTGTCCCCTCATCTGGAAATTGCGCGCTCAGTGGACAGAGATTTTTCTCAAAGAAAAGGCACTCACCTTCGTGAATAATTATTCTACAAAAAAGTATGTAGAGTTGAAAATGAACTATGTTGAAGGAAAAAAAATCTTTTTTGAGTCAGAAATTCTTCAGACCACCCTTGTATAACAATTTATTCAAATTATAATCAATGACTTTACCATATTCAATTTGTACATTTTTGCTTTTGTCATAATATTTATTTTAACCCTATTATAAATATTACTGGAGTTTTTCTAACTCCCTGACACGTGTTTCAATCACCAAGTGATCATCTTCAAGAGGAAGATCAAACTCCTGTAATATTCTTCACTACACCAAAGGTTCCAAACAGTGCATCACAAACCCTACTATAGAAAATGGGTTTCAGGATGGGTTTCAAACATTTCTTCTGAAAATAAAGAGTTTTGAATTCATGATTGAATTCATGCCCTTCTGCAAGGAGAAAAGTAGCATATTATGATGAATTAATTTTTTTGTTCGGAAAATTTTTTCTGTTCTCTATTAAACGTGCAGTTTGACCTATGTAAAACATGGAAAATGCCTTTGTTTTTTACTAGTTTGGCAAAAATAAGTTTACGTTTCATAATTGTTACCCCCGTTTCTAAGAAAAGTTCCTTTATGGCTTGACTGTAAAGGGTTTTGGGTAGTGAATAAGCTATTATACTATTATTCCAAAATGGTAGTCACTAAATTCTCAGAAATGACTGACGTTTTTGCCTCAATCTGTCTCTTGCAGTGGCGTAAGAAAATTTTACTAACCAGATTAAAAATGATGATTACATATATGGAATCACAATTTTGACAACAATATTTTTGTTTTAATGAAATAATATTTCTGAGACTTTAGTGCCCTCTTTCATGTGCCTAATATGAATTACTATCACAACCATTGTAATAATAATAATGATGAAAATTTTATTAACCATTTTCAGTACATTGTACACGTACATTGAACATATGGTAAGTCAATAATTGTAATACATGTTATATACATATAAAGAATGAAAACTATAGTTAGTCATAATTGAATGAAAAGTTGAAGAATAAAGATAAAATATAAATACAAAAACATAAATCACAGCACCTAATATACAAATGTTACATTTTAAAAACAAATACATATATATTTATTCTCAGAAATTATCACTCCAATAGTCTTTAAAACTACGAAAATATTTTTTATTTAGAATATTTTCGTATTATTCTTGAAGATTTTATATGATTCTGACTCCTTGATTGGATCAGGCAATCTCTATCTGTATCTGTAGATTACGGAGGGTGAGTGTAGGCCCCCAGCACTTAGGCCACATGTGATCCATTTTACATCCTCCCGAGGAGTTGTCCTCCTAGGTCATCGTCCATCCTGTCCTTTTCAGGAAGGTGGACATGTCACTGGGACACATCTCCTTTATATCAGCAGGTGTAGGCCAAGACTCGCCGAACATACACTCTCTTATTGACGATAACTCCGGGCACTCGCATAGGACATGATTGACAGTTTCATCTTCCTGCTCACACATCCTGCATAGAGGTATTCATTACCCCCATATTATGGAGGTGTTTTCTTAGTTGACGTGGCAAGTCAGAAATCCTACTGTTAAGCGTAGATTTTTCCTGGTCATCGCCAGATATTCCTTTGGCGCCAGCTTCCTAGGGTCGCCGAGGGTGATCCTGACAATATTGCCTTCTTTGCTTTCATTCCATTTGGCTAGTTCCGCAATTGTCGAAGTCATCAGGCCGTTGGTGCCACTGGGTCCTAAAATTCTTAGTCCAGCCGCTTCCTTGGCTTAAGAGTCGGCAATGCGATTACCTTTACTCCTGTCGTGCCCTTTAATCCACCTCAGGATAATGTTATTATCTACTGAGGCAATTTATTGAAGAGTGAGATAGCATTGTATATTGGAGAAATTCATTTGATTTGTGCGAGGTCATTGTTAAAATACCACCATGACGTGTACAGTAATTATGAGTAGAAGAATTCGTTTCAAGAGATGGACGATTAGTTCTTACATAAGTCACACATTTGAATAAATATATGCATGGCACTGATAATATATTTTCCCTTACACGAATAGGTTTGCAGCTATCACGAAAATCCATATAAAAAACAGTCTCATAATGCGTTTTTGGGCTACAAATATTCTATTAAAATTGCATCCCCATGACATTATATTTGAAGAAATATGCGGATATGCCATTGCAAAATATATACTTAAGAGAGTTTTTTATCTACGAGCAATTTCATTTGCTTGATCGCGAAAAATGCATCATTAAGTTTCTTGCAAGCCCCATCAATATGCAGATCCCAATTTAAAGATTCATCTAACATGATACCTAGAAATGTAACATCGCTATTCTGTCAGCTATTCTATCAACTCCATCTGGAATGTTATTGTTGTTATTGTTGATCACATTTTTTGTCACATTCAGTTCTCTGTTGAAATCCACACCAGACAAAGCAACGTTCATTAATTTGTAGATCACACCTGTTAACTTTGTATTGATAAGGATGGGTGGAAAAATTATCAACGATAATATCCGTGTGTGCCGGTTTAGGAACCATTGAAAAATCGTGTTAAAAAATAATTATTTTGAATCATTTTTTTCCATCTCCATAGTGAATGTAATGGAAAGTGACTTCAATGTCACTGTCATGAAATTATAGTAGAAAAAATAATAATCGTTGAACTTTTTAGTGACGACTCCGGTTCGATTCACCTCGCATCAACCAGTTGTTCCGGTATCGCTTTTTTGTTTGTCTGACTCGTTAACATACCAGATGAGACAACTAATCTTCTGAATATCAATTAATAAATCTTCCAAGAGAACAACAATGTGTATAATTCCATATTAGATAAAAAATCGTTTGCCTTGACATTTTTGAACATCTCTGATGAGAATATTAATGTTCAAACGTGAAAGTGAACGAGAGGAAGAAAACACTGAATCGGTTGAGCTGGTTTTACTTGTTACAATGTTGTTTTCATCAGAAGTTTCGACTCACTTTAGAGAGGATTCTAATAAATAGGAACATTTTCAGAAATTGATTGAATAATTCAGTGTGTCGAGCATAACAATTGAATCGTTTTGGAATTATCAGTCTACCTATTACATCTCGACCGATTTTGCAAATAAAGCAGAGATCAAAAGTAAAGAGACTGTTGATTTCAACTTTTCATAATAATAATGGCTTTTATTGATGGTTCCATACAATTACAACCAATCAAATAGCAGGATTCAATATCTGCGTATGATAAATCATCGCTGAGATTGCTCTTCCATCCAACCGTAAGAAAAAAAGGGAAAGAAAGAAAAAGAAACAGTATGCTATCAAGAACAAAGCAACAAGTATATACAGCGAAATTGAAATACAAATATATATATTTTCTTGAGCTTGGAGAAAGTTTGATTGATTTCGACATAATTCGATTTGTTTGTATTTCTGTAAAAAGATTCCAATCAAAGTAAATTATGTTAGACAACCTGGTGTCTGTATTATTCAAAAATTTTCGAATAATAAAAATTTGCCTGTTAACATTTGTGATTTCGTTCGATCAAAGGAGGGTTAATAGGGTCGAGTACTGACCCTCACTTCAGTTACGTGATGAGGACTGTGATAATTCGAGAGGAGGTGAACTGCTCTTTTGTCTCGCCATTTATAAGCACCGTGTTACTGCAAAACCATTCATAATCACCTCTTTTCATGGTCCTATCTGGTGCGAAAATTGGTAAATGTTTTCTGTTAGTATTGACAGTAGCACACGCATATATATGATTATCTACTAAGTCTTTCATCAGACTAACACTCGAACAAAAAAATTGTCAAAGTATAGTCTGTGCCTTCAATCAGTGAAGTTAATGTTTTCACAACCCTAGAACCCAAAGCCTTCTCCACGATTCATGGATCATTTATAGACCAAACCGATAACAAGTTTGACAATGACACAAGACACGATTCACGCGTGATCTTTCAAAAACAGTCTTGCCAAAAATATACCAGCAAAAAAATCACTAATTACTTCAAAACGTGACTATTTGTGTTGACCGTTAATATCGAGTTTTCTGACCTTCCCTATACTTTATAAACCATGAAAAACAGCATGAAAGCTAACGCCCAGTTTTTCCGTCATCCCACGGATCGTTTGTCATGGGTCAGTCTTCACCGGGGTCCTCAAATTGTCGTCCTGGATAATAATAATAATAATCTTTATTCAATCCTTTCAGATCACATACAGCATGTACAGAGTTAAACATTCTCTGTCGATCAGTATATACCACAACACAATGTTTAAAATCTGTTTCTCCGTTAACCAGCTGTCGCACCCCTACGAACGACAACCCTCAGAAGTCGAAACTTGTGCGAGCTAAGGATTAACGAGGATTAACGAGGTCCAAAGTTCTCTAGAAATATTCAGCAAAAATATTCTATTCATTTTAAAATTCAACATTCACTTACTTTATATAATTTTACGATTTTAGCGCTCAGCGACTCCTCTGCGTGTGGTGAATGGTAAATTCATTCACTTTATTTGATATTTATATTTAATTATCGCATCTGAATCATGAATTTTATGATGACATGGTCAATGACCATTTTTTCATATATTTTGAAATATTTGAAGTATTTAATATTTACTTTTCTATTGACTCGGCGCGGCGGTCACTTGATGAAGATCCATAGTAATTTCACAAACTACACCGGAAAAGATTTGATCTTCACAAACTTTATTCTAAAAATATCGAAACATGTCGTGAACTTTTTGGAAATAAAGTTTGTGAAGATCAAATATGAAATATATTATATTTCATAGTCAATAGACTTTTCCTGTGATGTCCGCTATTCTTTGACTAATTTAAGATTTGCATTTTTATCGGACGATCAACAAGTTTCTTTTCTTCTTGATCTGATCAAATCAAATTCTTCAGAAAGAAGAATTCGAAATAGTTACATCGAACAGGGGAGTTTTAAATTTTACTTCTTCGTTTGTCATTATTAAACTCTTTATTTTCAACGTTTATATTTGTACAGGAAAAACCCGAAATGTTTTTTTTCAAAATAGTCAAATTGAAACTTTGGTGAAAGCCACCTACAGAAAAGACGGACTCGGTAGAGGCATTTTTAAACAGATGCTGAGAAACAAAGAAGTGAAAGAAATCTCTGGGTATTACTGATATTAATTTTTATTTTATTATATACGATTGACTACAAGAATGGTTGATTTAGTTATATCATATTTCCTATGAAATATAGATATATGATATATGAAATAGATATATTTTTCCTTTGTTGAAGGATGTATTTTATGTCATCCCCAATGCGGACATGCGATGTTTCGGAATAAGACACTTGCCTTATTGCCTCTTCAGCACCAACCTTAATGTGTATATAGTTCTCCATTGCAATTTTTATATTTTTTCAAATTGTGAAGGTGACAATACCCAAAGTAGGTCGATAAAAATAACAAAAAATATAGTCCACTTGTAATCTTCAACTCAAAGCTATTAAACAAAATGACTTCTTAAGTCAATATCTAAAATAATACTTTCGGGGGATATTTTGGTGTTTATAACAACTTATATAACAGTTGTTCTATTAAATAATCATATTATTCTGATCAAGTACCTATCCTTTCATAGCTAGACGGGACTCAATACTTTTCCATGTTAATATTTCCAAAAACTAATAGTAATTTGTTGAATTGCATGGAATTTGCTTGGACATTCGAAAAACATTAACTTAAACATAACTAGACAAATGTTTTATCTGAATTGACTAAATGAATCATTGACCTAATATGAAGAAAGTGTAAGTGTATTTGTTATAACACCGGTCGAAAAATGTTGATCACCAACAATTAGAAAACCATACATTACTAAATATTGATGGCGTGAGTGAAAGCAAAGATAAAGGTCATCGAGTTCCATAACTCATATCTGATCATTAAACCGAGATTGGTTAATTGCGGTATTGTAAATCTGACAAATTACATTGGTCTCGCTCGTTCATATTTTTCTCCAAGGATTGTTCACTGGTAGGATATAGAACAGCTCATAAAAAACGTTTCTTGTTTTCTTCAAACTCTCTTGTGAATGAATTGTATTCTGTAATGAAAAATTGATTTCGTCTATGAAGAATTTAGGCAACATAATCTATTCGCTTGGGATTTTTTTGTGGAGAATCAGAGGAAGCACGTACGAAGCACGTACGAAACGACGTACGAAACGACAAAAATGTAAAGCTTATTTCGATAGTGATGAATCAAATCACTGATTCCTTTCTGTTTCTTTCGCAATATATAAGCGAAAATTAGCCTTGGAAATGTAGAGACAAAAAATTCAGTTTCGGAAGTATTCAGAATCATAGTGACTATTTCAATATTGACACCACCTGCAGTCTGAATTGAATTACTCATTTCTTTATCTGTTTTTCTGCAATCGAAAAAAGAAATTTGGTCTTGAAAGTGTAAAATAACCCACAGAAAACAAAATAATCAGAGTCGGAAGTCTCTAGAAATGCATGAATATTGAAAATGTAACCGATCAAATGGTGAAATCTATACGGATACTCAAATTACTATCAAAAATAATTCTTCACATATTGGGACAAAATTTCAAAACAATAAAATGAAAAATCCATATTAATTGTAATTTACATTAACCAAAGTACGATGTGGAATCCACTAGAGGACTAGAGATTTCAATTTTAAAGATAGGCTCCCTAAGGCTCCCTAAGGCGGTCAGTTGCAAAGCCAAGCTTCGACATCGACAGCAGCTTTCACTGCAAGAAAATTGCTAAAAAGCCAGAGTCCATACACAACGCATTTATAATCCACCAGCAGTTGTTTCGAACCGCGGTAAATCTCGTCAGTGGTGATAGATCACAATTGCATTGCTGGACACTACTCTCCTTAAAGGACAAGCCTGAGTTATTATTAGCTGAGCTGAGTTCATAGAATAACACAGATGACGCTTCTAGTATTAGTTAACTCTAACCTTCAAAAGACACGTGTTCAAATTTCTCAGCTGTCGGAGTATTAATTTGTGAGATAGAACATTTTGAGTGAAGCAACTTTTGTTAGTTTGAAGAAAAAGCATTTCGTGTGTTGATGAAGCATTGCTTCTTGGCGAAAAAAATACTGTTGAAGCCAAGATTTGGCTGTATAAACATCATTTGGACTTTGCACCAGGAAAATCAACTGTTGAGTGGTTTGCTGAGTTTAAGCGAGGTGAAATGAACACCGAGGACCGAGGACGAAGTATGCAGCGGACGCTCCTAAGAGGTTATTACCGACGAAAACATAAAAAAAGTCCATAAAATAATTCTGGATAACCTCAAAGTGAAGTTGATCGAGATAGCTGAAGATATGAAAGGAGCGTGTTGGACATGTCGTGCATGAATATTTGGGTATGCGAAAGATCCCTTGGAATATCTTAGCCACATTGATGTATCTAATAATTTACACTTCACGGATACAGATTTATTACAATTGAATGAAATCATATGGAACATAAAAAACAAAAATTCTACTGGCATTGATGACATTTCTGTAAAAATTCTACTGAACCTTCCAGATGCTGCTCTAGATTCGCTAGCCAGAACTATCAATAGATCATTTGCACTTAGAAAATTTCCCTCATATCTCAAAGCAGATCTTGTCTTTCCACTATTCAAAGGTGGTGATTCAGAAGATACAAGCAATTACAGTCCAATCTCTTTGCTTTCAACACTTTCGGAAGTGATTGAAAAACTTATCAAAAAAGGGTACTAACCTTTCTAGGCAGTCACAAAAATTTATCAAACACCCAGTTTGGCTTTCAAAGTTCAAAAAGCACCAATGATGCAATCTTTCATTTTCTTGAGCATGCTTATACGAACCTCAACTGTAGTAGCTATGTTTTGTGACTTATCAAAAGCATTCAATTGCAACAATCATAGTCTCCTTCTAAAGAAGCTCTGCTTCTATGGTTTCAGAGGTGCTTGTTATGACTGGTTTGCCTCATACTTGAGCGATAGAAAACAAATAGTACAATCGAATGAACAACCATCATCCAGTGGAGAAATCTCATCTGGTGAAACACAAGGATCAGTTCTAGGTCCAATTCTTTTTCTTCTGTATTTAAATGATCTGGCTTTCATTCCAATTAGAGGAAATTTTTCAATTTTTGAAGATGACACTACTAGCCTCTGACAGTTCCACAATAAAAAACCTGAATTCATGCGTCGATATGTGACAATGGAAGAAACATGGCTCCATCATTTCACACCGGAATCAGAACGATCATCATCTGAAAGGACTGCACGTGGTGAACCAACTCCAAATCTTTCAAAGACGTAACAGTCGGCTGGCAAGTTAATGGTATCCGTATTTTGGGATGCGCATTGTATTATATTCATGGACTATATTGAAAAAGGAAAAACCATAAGCAGCGACTATTACATAGCGTTATTGAAGCATTTGAAGGACAAAATCGCGGACAAACGGCCCCATTTGAAAAAAATTCAAGTGGTGCTTCATCAAAACAATATTACGTGTGAGAAATCAATGAAAACAATGGCAAAATTGCATGAATTGGGCTTCGAATTCCTTCCACATCCACCGTATTTTCCAGATCTACCCCCTATTTCCTATTTCCATACCTCAAGAAGAATGCTCTCTGGTGAGGAATTCAGCGCCAATGAAGAAGTAGTCGTCGAAACTGAGGTTTATTTTGAGGATAAAGTCAAATCGTATCGTCAAGTGGTATCGAAATTTTGAATGACAGGTATAATCGTTGGGTGGCCCTCGAAGGCAACTATATTGAATTATAAAATCAAATTTTATCAATTTTATTTTTTCCATGTTAGCCTACGAACTTTTCTGCCCAACTATTAAGATCGATAACATCCTCCTTTACGAACACGCCATCTATGGGTTCAACAGAGAACTCAATCCCCAAGGCGGTCGGTTGTGATGCCAAGGTTCGACTTTGACGGCCGACGAGATTTGACCTCTGTCTTTTACTGCAGCTTTCACTGCAAGTATAATATAATATGAGGTGTTTTCTGCCACTTTTGCTATAGAAGACTGACTACGGTATGATTGAACATATTTGATAATAGGAAACATTTATGGAATTATCAATTCCACAACTGTCTATCTGAATAAGAAAAATTGTTATCAAAACACGTTAGGAAAATTCACGATACATTTTCTCATTTTACTTTGCAGGATCTCTTTCGTTATATAAATAGTTACTCACAATTTGTTTCTCCCTAATGAAACTTCTGAATTTTTAGCTAGGTGGTTGTCTTTTTTGAATTGTTTCTAGCCTTATTATTTTTTTTTCAATCTCTTCTTTAT